AATTAGTATACATAGTGAACAAATAAATCAATGATTTAACTAAATTTTCTAAAATTTCCGCAATCTGAAAATGAATCAAGCAAGTGAATTGCCTTGTCAGTCCCCTTATTACGTAATGTCATTGTCAAACCATACGGATATACCGTAATGATGTAGTCGAGCGTAACTTGATGAAAAAGACACTTTTAATTGTTTTAAATTGAATTGTGTTCGATTTTTTTCTAACCGTTACAAGCTAAGAAGGAAAAACGTGGAGCACTAAGCAGCTGCTAACAAGCCAACGTGGCCTGATATTCTTAGTTCTGATATCTCTTTCTATTGTTTCTATCGATGCCATAATAATTATAGGTTCAAATAAATTTATATTAATTTCTGTGAGCAAATATGATAATTCTTTGATCGTATAGTAAAGAAATTTTATACGAAATATGGCAAGCGACTGACGATCGGGTGTCTCTTTTCTTGGCACGACATTACGACACATGTACGCACACATGACTGCTTCGTGACGCGTGCAGAGGCGCGTACATATACATACATCTATATGTATATATACGATACAAGTTTGCAACTCTAGCCTATACGTAAGGAAAAGATATCGCTAAGAATGGCATGAAAAAAGAATAATATTTACTTACCCGATTTCTGAGAAAGTCCTCGATGGCACGTTGCGCCGAGTCGGTGAGTTTCACGAAGATCAGGGACTTGTTTTCGTGAAAATTACTGTGCGACGACAAACCATACTGGACACCTGCCACCAGCGCCGCCATTTCTCTGTCTCTCAACAGTGGGTTCTCTCTCGCACACGTCCCCCTCGTAAAAGCGCACACAGCTGACGTCCTTGTTGGTTAAACGAAACACTTTTTTTTACCTCTACTTGTTACCCCGCGATACGAAACGGCGCATACTACACGGTGAGAAAACACTTGCCGCAATGATACTTTCACTCGGAACAAATCGAGTAAAGACGAAGAGAAATAGAAAGAAAAAAAGAAGGTAGAGAGGCACAAAAAAAGAGAGAAAAAGATATATAACCCCCCCCCGAAATAGAGGATTCTTCTTACACGAAGCTCTGGCACACACGCGTTTTCTTTTGTTTTTCGACGCGGATCTTTTTCACGATCTCCACCTTTGCCACTTCTTTACGCGGTTCGTTTTCTTCGTCACGCTTCGAAAGTGGTAACACCCGCGCGTAGACCACCCTCTCACACGTTCCTGGTCCTCGTTTTCTCTCAACCGTCACATATTAGCGCACCGATACGTCTCATTTCAGATTTTCTCGCAATTGGATACGTTCAAGAGAGAGCAGCGCCCGTCGTTTCGCCGTAAGGAACTACACAACTACACTTTCGAACGACCACCTGGTAGGTGGGGCTTACGGGAGAACCGTCAACCAATCCCGATTTACACTCAAATAGCATGCGATTGTCGATTCTACTGTCCTCCTACGGTCGCAGCCAACGATCGACTGACAACCTTCACTTGCATCGTCTGATTCTTTGGATACTGCTGCTGCCATCTATTTTCAGTTTCGATAATTCTACATATACAATTTTGTAAAGGGATAAAATAAATTAATTTTAATACATGTAATTTAATGCTTAATAGAATTTTTTATACTTCATATATATTCAGTTATATTACATTTATAAATCATATATTCAAAAAATAAAAAAAGAAAATAAAATAATTTCTTTTTTCTTTTTATTTTGTTATTATACTAATATATTTATTTTGATTTGAATTTATCTTTGGAAACTATTTTTGTTATATACATATTTTTATTTATTCTTTTTTGTTATTAATGTTAATAAATAAGAAAAATGATATTTTAAAAAATCATATATTTATTAAATATTTAAACTGTGTTCAATTAATATGTATATACTATTTCTTTGAAATAATTTTATTTTTTATATGAAAACAAGCCTTAAATATGATAATAATTTAACCAATTAAAAATGTATATCTATCTTATGTAACTGGTGTGGCAGCACTGGTAAAGTTTTATTGTATAAAGGTTATATTCAACGTAATCGCAAAGAAAAGTTTATTATTAAATTTGAATTTATTTTTAGAATTTAAATATTCAAAATGATTGAAAAATTTACACCAGGAAATTTACTATTAACATCTATATTTGTTTTTTGGACGTACTCAATATATTTTGAGCCTCGACGATATCGTTTGTACCACTTATGGTCGAATCCTCACTATTCTTATGCTCGTGAGATAGAATTGGTAATATAAAATATTCTTATATAATTAATATATTTTATAATTAATGTTTTTTATTTAAGAAATATATTAATATTAATTTGCATTGAAATACATTTGTGATTAAATTTCATTTTAAAAGATTAAATATTTTTTAATGATTTCTATATTTTTTAATAATTTTCGATAAATATTTCAAAAATTTTTTAATTATTTTTAAGTTTAAAAAACACTTAAATTTAACAATAATTTATAATTTATATAATTTATATCAAAATTTTACTGTATTTTAACTTAAATTCTGATTTAAATCTAATCTATTTTGACATTTAATCTAAATTTAAATTATTAAGATGTTTTATTGTAATTTTAATCATATTGTTTTTTAATTGTACTATAATTGTGATTAATTTCATATTTTTGTTCATTTATTTTTTAGAATTAATCAGAAAATAATTTAAAAAAAATTCTATTTGGAATTATTAATTGAGTATTATTAAAAAGAAGAAATAAATAGAATTTTTATTATTTAAAATTATTTTTATCAACTTTAAGTAATTATGTTATATGTATTAAATAATATAATATATATAATATATAAATAATATAAAATTTTAAATAGTTTTTAAATAATATAAGATTTCTTAATATTTATAGAAACACTTGGGTAAAGTATACGTACCAGGGGAGCACTTAACTAGAAGTATGTATGAAAAAAAATGAAGCAAAGATTTTATATTATACAATACATGTATAATACTAATATATATACATGTCAATCAATATTATTGTAGTTAAAACATTTAATAAAATACATGAAAAATATATTTGTTCTAATTGATATATTTAAAATATTTTTAATGATATAATATATTTATGACATATGCAATATAAAAAAAATTTATATGAAAAAAATATGTGATATATTTTTATATTTTTATTCGTATATAATTTTTAGCATATTGCTATAGTAATTTATATCATAGATTGAAGAAAATATATAATTAAAAAATCTATGAAGATAAATTAAATGTTAATTAATAAATAATAATCATATATTTAATTATTTTTTATGTATTTAATTATGTAATTAAAATGTCTATGTCTATTGATATGTATATATTGAAAAGTCTATATATTGAAATTATTTTAAAATAAAAATTAAATTAATTTATGTGATAATATTATATTAAATAAAAGGAGGTATTTAAGTAAAATATCTTGAAATTCATAGAATTTGAAGTTTTATTAGATTTTTTGAATTACCTTCCCCTGAGATAGCTTATTCCATTAAGAAAGCCATCCTTTATATCAATCTCTTATATGTATATGTATACCATTTTATATCATATAATTTTTGTTCCGCTGTCTATTTAAGAGCACCCATTGGATATGATAAATTCATATGAATGAAAATTAGACAAGCAGTGCAAATGTTTGTAAGAATAAATAAACATAAATAAATTGAATGTTTTATATCAGAATGTATTGTATGTTAATGTTGATAATTGTATTAAATCCTATTTTGTGACAATAATTGCATTTTACATAATGTTTCACTTTTTAAGAAATTAATTAAAATATATAAATATTTTAATTTGTATACAGAACAGATATTATAACAAGAAAAATCTTGTTTAAATAAATTGCATTTTTGCAATATACAATAAATAACATTATCTTAGATGCTAAGCTTTATTAACATTTACAAAAGAAAAGCAGACATTCTATGAAATGCTATGCTATTTTTTTAGCAATATTTCATTTTAGCAATATTATGTAATTTTGGATAAACAAGAATGTATGTAAAATTTCATACAGAATTGGTCGATTTCTTTTCTTAACTTGATATGTATTGGATTTTAAATAAAAATGGAAAATATAAAGAATTAATAACATAATGAGAAAGAATAAATAACATATAACAGATGAAATATGATAACAAAATTATCAATGTACCAAAACATAAGAATTTTTAAATTCAATGAATGTGTATTTTGAAAATGTTTCATTTTGGTTGATACTTCGCGTTTCTTTCATATAAGTTTTATAAATAAATTTTATAGAAAAACACGTAATTATGTTGTTAGATTTTTGCTAATTCACTGAAACACAAAACAACATCAGATCGTGAATGCATAGCATGATCATGTATATGTACAAGTGTTTTATATATATATATGTAGTATTACAAGCTATTATTATTGAAATTAATAGATAAAAATAAAATTTTTTGGTACTATAAAATTTAAACTAGTTTTTATTATTAACTTTTCTGTGAAATTATTAAATGCCAAATTTGACGCTATTTTTAATAGTTTTGAAATTGATAGCTTGTAATATTTCACATAAATCACATATATATGTGCAATTGTGTATGCAATATATTTTGCACGATTAGTACATAATAATATTTTACATGTGAGCGTATTATAATGCAAAAATTACGAAAAGATAATCGAGACAATAAGCAACGTTTCATATAACATGAAAATCCATATTATAATTACAATGATGGCAATGATGATGATGGTTAATGTAAAAATGAAAGTGATAAAAACAATGTGATAAAACGATCAGATATATAAATTTTTGTTTTCATCATCAGACGAAAATCTAGAGGTCTTTAACACAACGTAAAAATTAAATATAATTCTCATTTTATCCGTAATAAAGATTAAAAAAAATTACTTTAATAAAAATAAAAAGAAGAAATTGATAAAATCATTTATATACAATATGTATATATGTGTATTTTATTTCGATGTATATTAACTAAATCTAAAAATTTTTAAAAAATTAACATACAATAATAATTTTTATTAAAGTAATATAAGAATTTGGATTATGATTAATGAAATATAAGTCCTCTAGATTATCGATGGTTTCGATAAATTTCGTACAGCGATTATGCATTGATGAAACATTGAATCACATCTTAAAGTTTATCTAATATTTCATGATAATGAATATATTTTGGTTTTACCTTTCATGTAAAATATGATGATATGGAATGTGGTACAATAATTCAACGATGATAAAACTCTGGTCAACTTTCCTCGTTTGCATTTTATTCACGCACAATATCACCTTTTTATACTTCATTTAATTATTTAATTGATCGATAGATACCAACTGTAACAATTTTTTTCATATTTATAATATAGTTTGCATATTCTTGAATAACATTGTCATTTAATCATTCTCTCTTTCGCTGTTTTATATTATATCATGTCGTTTTTTTAATTTATTGATCGAATCTTGTTACACACGTCGCCAAACAAATTTGTTTCTTTTATAATTCTTTTTAAGGATAATTAAATAAATAATCATAATCAATTTTTTACATATAGTTTTATTATATCGTTAATCACGATGCACATTCTTATAATTGAATCTGAAAAATTTGAAAATTTCGATAATTGTTAAAAGTTTAAAAAAAAATTAAGTATTATTTTGTTAAAATGAAAATAAATAATATTATATATATGGTAAAATATAATTTTTCTTAATATCTCTTTTCTTATAAGAATATGAAATAAATATGACAAATATATATATAAAAATATCGATCAAATATGATAAAATCATTGTGATTTTAATTTTTTCGATGACATATGTACATATTTACTCAAATATGGCGAAAAATGATGAATTTCATTAAAATATAATATTTGATAATTATTTTATTAATTAATATTAATATTAGAATTAAATTAAAATTAAATAATTAATTCAATGTTAAAGAAAATAAACGAAATATAAACAATTGATAAAATAATAAATTCGAAAAAATACCTGGCAATGCTGGCGTCGCGTGCGTCAATCGATCAAGAGAGATACCATTTTTTAAGGATAGAATCATAACGAAAAATCGTGCACACACATCGTTTAGAGCTAAAAAGATTTGAACTACATAAATGATTCAAAGAATAAGCTCTTAGTGCAAGTGAACGAACGAAAGATAAACGTTTATTAATAAAGATCTGGGATTTGGTATTTTTTTTTTGTGTTGAATGTGCGTGTTTGTCTCTGATACAATTGCTTTTAGGTTCACCTATGTATATTCGGAGGCTGCGCAACGGTGTGTTGTAATATAATTCTTCTCCCTCTTCATTCGCTTAGTTTCGCGTTAAAAATTTTGATAACAATGGTATTCTTTACGGGAACGATGAAAATGTACTCGTTGAGATATAATACCTAATAATCATGCAGTCATCCGCACGTACGCACAGAATTACGCGTTTCGTTATTATTTTCTTTTTGCATTTCTTGTCACATGATTACAAATTTATTCCTTAATATGCTTTATTTACGAAACACAAACATTCTGCCATTTTTTTTCTTTTTTTTTTTTTTTTTTTTTTTAATATATTTGTTAAGTACAATTATATACGCGTCGTACGATTTCTCAAGCATAGTATTGTCAACAATTGTGTATATATTTGTTCTTTTTTTCTTTTTTCCTTTCCATTTGTTAAATGGTTTTTTCTGCTAAATGTTCTCATAATACAGCAATCTGAAGTCTAGTTTTCGAATAATTTCCTTTCTTTGGTTCTGCGTCCATGGTCAGCTAGTGAACGCAAAAGTTCGCGATGACATCTCATGCTCTCGTCGAACAAGAAATACGAACACTTAACCTTGTTTCGTTATATATTTCTTTTCTTTTTTCTTCGATTTTTTTTGAGAAGAATAATGAATCGATTCGTGCAACGAGACATTCAATCACAGAAAAATTTTTTCGATTTTCGCATTTATTTTCGATTGTATAAATTTAAAATATATAAATGTTAATGATATATTAAAATGATTTACGGATATGCATTCTCATTATGTAATAATACATTTTATTTCTCTTCTTTTTTAATATTTTTTTTAACCCTTTAGGGACCATTCTATTTTATATATATATATATTTTTTTCATTGTTCTTTTATATTCTTTTTCTTTCTTCGAATTCAAAGTTATTAAAAGTAATGAAATTCATAGACTAAAGGCTAGGTCTATTATTAAACATTCATTTCTAAACATTCATAGCATGCATCACGTTATTATAATAATCTAATAATACTAGAATAATATCAATTTTATAAATTATGTATTAGTACCGTAATTATATCGATATCTTAAGTAGAATCCAAGATAAAGCACTTGAAAACTGAATTCCGTTTGAGAGTCCCAGCAGGGTTAAACTTTTATTCATTTCAAATTGAATCATTGCAGAGCACTTTTGTATCATTTCTTTTTGAATAATATATTTTTGTGCAATTTTTTCTTTTAGATCAGTCAATACAAAATAAACAAAAGGACAAAATGTTATAACAACGATTTCTTTTGTTTTCCTATGACTGCAAACTATATATAAGAAGCAACATTCACGCATACCGTTCACGTGAATTTGGACAAAAATATCACTATTAAACGGTAACGTGAAAATTCCTAGTCATTTTCTGTCCCTCGTTGCTCGTCGAAATTCCTCTCTTACCTGATTGATTATTCGACGATTACTTTTGCGTTCCCAATATTAATATCATCATATTCGTGTCATTCTTATATTACCGATCGATTACATAGATATTGTGATAATTTATCACAATCTTTATGCAACATTGCCATGGTATCTTTCGCTATCACACCAATGAGACTCTTCGGACGTTTAACGAGTATAGAGAATAGAAATCGAAATGTCTTTTAAAAGAGAAAAATACTGTTGCTATTGGGAACGGTGTTCATGTGCTTGATGTGTATATGTATATGCGCGCGGTATATTGTGTATGTACAATTATGTTCTATATATGTTTGTCTGTTTTGTGTTACATGTTACATACTCAATTCAATTGTTTATAGAGTTGGTAAGTTGGCATTTAGGATAACAAAAAAAAAACAAATTTTTCGATATTATAATAATTTCTTATTTGTGATAAATTTTCGATCATTACGCATGCTTATCTTTATGATTGTTTGAATCTATTAGAAATAATTAATAGCTAAATAACAATATAAATTGTTCAATACAGTACAATTGATCCATCTTACAATTTACAAATTAATCAATAAATAACTAATAGATAGACTTGTATTCTATCCGTGTACCAACTTAGCAGTTCTGATTGTTAGGTTATACCGTGTGTGTTTTTTATTATTATATGTATAAATGTTTATAGGTTACGTGAAATATGTATGTGCGAGTGTATACGTGTGTATATGTACTTTAAGGGTAGTAATTATCACAGAATACACGAGATATTTTTTTTTCATTAAGCTTACGAGATATTAATCGAAGCGGAGAATAGGAGGAAAAATTGGCGGTCAATCCCGTCCACGAAGCGCAATCGCCGAACGACCCCAAAACTTTTTAGCGCAAAGAAACACACAAAAGATTGTTCCCGTTTCGTCGACGGACTTGGCCTGGTTGCCGAATTCGCCAACCCTTTTTCATTAATTAGTATGTACTTAGGCAGCGGAGAAAATAGACACTTTTACAAATGAAGATGGTGGCGAGATCGCGGATTCGTGTTTCTCTTTTTCAATTCTAATTTTTCCCTTTTTCTTTTTCATTTGTATTTTTCTATATTTTCTATATGCGTATTTCGCTGATACCATGTCGTTTTTGTCTGTGTTCGATAAGTATGGTTTCAAATTCGAAATCTTTTTTCGCTACGTTCGTTTTTCTTCGGTCGAAGGCACACTAGATCGAAGCAACGCGAACATTGCAAAAAAAAAAAAAAAAAAAAAAAAAA